GCCTCGGGGCCAGCGGGGGTGACTCCCTCCAGCTGAGGGCCCTCCAGCAGGTTCTTTTTGGATTCCGCGGGTTATTGCCCTCGCAGGGACTCTTGAATGGCCCCTTTTGAGGCCCTCCTGTTTTGTTTTCCTCTGACCACTCTTGGAGTCCCCGGCGTTTCTTGGTCTTGGTCTTGGTCCTCCTCCTCCCCCTCCTCCTCCTCCTCCTCCTCCTCCTCCTCCTCCTCCTCCTCCTCCGGCCTCATCTTCCTCCTCCCTGGGCCTCATGCCTCCTGCTGGAGTTTCCCGGGACGTTCTGGAGCCTTCTGGGGCCTCCTGGGGCACTCTTCCACCTCCTCCTGCTAATCAATACTTTTCTCAGAATCCTGCCTCCTCCTCCTCATCCTCAACCTCCTCCTGGTCCTGCGTCTTCCTCTGCCTCCTCCTGCCTCCTCCTCGTCCTCCTGCCCCTCCTGCTCCTGCCTCATCATCCTCCTCATCCACGTCCCCCTCCGTTCCCTCCTCTTCCTCCCCCTCTTCCTCCTCATGTTCCTCCTGTTCCTCCACCTTTTCCTTTTCCTCCTCCTCCTCCTCCTCCTCCTCCTCCTCCTCGTCCTCCTCCTCCTCCTCGTCCTCCTCCTCCTCCTGCTCCTCCTACTCCTCCTCCTCCTCCTCTTCCTGGTCGTTTGTTCATCCTCGTCCTGTCTTCGGCCTCATCCTTTTGAGCCTCCTGCCTCCTCCTGGGGCCTCCTGGGACCTTCCGTTGCCTCCTGGAGCCTCCAGGGACACCTGAAGCCTGGCCTCCTTTTCCTTCTGGCCCAACCTCCTCCTTGGGCCTCTGCCTCCTCCTGGGGCCTCCTGCTGCTGCCTCGGACCGTCGGAGGCCTTTCCCTGCGGGCCCCCGCTCCCGACTGGGGTGCCAAACTATGACGCGGTCACGAAGATTTGGATGACCGCGCTCGGATTCCAACATCGAGGTGGGGACCCTGTAGGGAAGGCAGATTCAGGCCGGAGGAACCCAACTGCCAACATGAAGCGCGGGCCACACAGGGAGGGTGTCCCACGCTTGAAGCACCCTCGCAATTCGCCCCTTTAGGGCGCTCAAATGCTATGCCTGGCCGAGTTTGCCGAGGGCCTCCCTGAGATTGCCAACATGAAGTGCGGGCCCTCTGGGGAGGCGGCTTCCGGCCGAGACTCCATGCAACCCAACCACAGACGAGGCTAGCCCTCGAGACATCCTCGCGAACTGCCCTCGTGGAGTGCTCGAATGACTTGCCTGAGGGAGTTTGCCGATGACCCGCTAGGATTACCAACGTGAAGTGCGGGCCCCAGGGGGCGGGGGCTCCCGCCTGAGACGTCCGCGCAACTCGTACAGACGATGCCCACGCTTGGAACATCCTCATGCTTCCCCCCCTTTGGTGAGATGTGCCGATGACCTGCCAGAATTACCGATGTGATGTGCGGGCCCCATAGGGAGAGGGGCTCCCGCCGCCCGAAACATCCCGACGATTTGCCCCCTTGGGGTGTTCAATGGATATGCCTGGCCGATTTCGCGAATAACCCGCTCGGATTAGTGAGCATCGCGCTGCGCGGGCCCTCTAGGGCGGGGGCTCCCGCTTGAGACGTCCCCCGGGCCATGCTGCCCTTCTCAAACCGCTCGCCGATTGGGCCCGCCGCGCAGCGCCCTCCGACGGCGCCCAGCGCAGATGGCGCCACCCGCAGCACGAGCTGCGCCGCGAGCTGGCGGCCGCCCTCGTCGCGGCGCTGGCGGTCCACGCGGCCTCGAGCCTCGCACGTGGCGGCCGCGCTGCCGTAGCGGAGCTGGAGGCGCCGAAGCCGCGCCTGCTGCCCAGGCGGCGCCGCCGGCGCGCGCGTGCGCGGCGCGGCCATGCGGATGCCGCACGGGCGGGCTCCAAGATGGGGGGGGCGGCGGGGACGGATCCGAGCTGGCTGGCAATTCTAGAAGTCACTCCTTGACACGAACTAGAGCCAGGCACCCACACATTGAGCATCCACAAATTGAGAGCTCTTTTACTTCCATTGCACGCGGCCAACGACGCCAACGTCTTGCCGCAAGTCGCCGACAGGCCTCCCGGTGGCGGCCCCGGCGGGCGCGGCGGAGGTGGCGGGCTGGTGGCTGCGGAGAACCCATCATTGGGCGTCAGGCTGGGCGAGGCAGAGCTCGAGCTGATCCGCTTGTCGGTGGTGGAGAGGCTTCAGGTGCCAAGACTACGTGCCCGGGCAGGAGGTCGAGATCCGCGAGGAGCTCAGGCGCAAGCTGCTCGGCTGTCCAAGGGTCCTGCCCTCCTGGGGAAGGTGATGTCCTCCCGTGCCGTGCCCGCCCTGTTAGAGGTAGTAAACCCTGGCTCGCTGCTGCCGCCTCATCGCACGCGTGGCCTGGAAAGGCGCTCTGTAGTTCGCGCCAACGATCGGGCGGGGCGCTCTCGCGGGGATGGACGGACGGGGCCTGCAGCAGGCGCCGCGCATGGATGTAAGCAAGCGTGGGACTTTTGTTGAGATTAATTGTCAGACGAGCCCCCCGCTTGAGACATCCTCACCATTTGCTCCCTTGGGGTGCTCAAGTGCCACGCCTGGTAGAGTTTGCCGATGACCCGCTGGGATTGCTAACGTAAGGTGCGGGCCCCATATGGAAGGGGCTGCTCCCGTTCGAGACCTCCCAAAGATGAGCATGTGTGTGGAGTGATGCCGCTGCTGCTGCTGATGATGATGGTGATAACGATAACGATTACGATAACGATGATGACGATGACGATGATGCTGATGATAATGATGATGACGATGACGATGATGATGATGACGACGGCGACGATGACGATGACGATGACGATAACGATGACGATGCTGATGATGATGATGCTCATGATGAGGTTGATGAAGATGATGAAGATGATGGGGATGATGATGATGATGATGATGATGATGATGATGATGATGATGATGATGATGATGCTGATGATGATGATCACGATGCGCGCTGAGCGCGCTGACTACACGGGGAAGGGCCCCCTCGCCACTACGGGGGCGAACACGGGGGGGCGACCAACCCCCGCACCAGGCAAGGGAGTCCCCACCCCCCAACAGAGCCACGAGGCCCCGAGCCAGGCCCCAGAGGGCCCAGCAACCAGCTCCCGCACGGGAGCATGATAGACCCCGCGCCGCGCGAGGAAGCGCGGCGACTGCGCTCCGCGTGCAGCATGCGCCAAGCGACCCACCCCGGAAATGGATCTCGAACTCCTTCCCGTCGGACTTCGGGAACACCGCGCTCCGACATCATGCGCTCTCGAGCACGGCACCGCACGGTATGCACCGTACGTAACGATCGCCTTCGCAAACATGAAGAATGCTACAGTGCGGGCGCGGCCGCAAGAAACCCACGAAAGAAACCCAGCCCTGAAAACCCGCGCGCGAAGTGCACCGGAGGGGAAAACGAGGGCACCCTGAACGCAGCCGCTCATTCAACGGCTGCGGGAAGTCACAGCCTAGCGCGCGAAGCAAAGAACCCCAGGATACCCTGACGAAAAACATATGGTTCCTTGATGCGGGCCCCCACTGTACGAGCACGAGATTCCCCATGGAGTGCATTTCGCAGGAACGCCGCCAGGGGGAAAGCCACGGCTCCGAGGCGCCGCGCCCCTCCGAGGTGCGCGACCCGACAGGCCGAGCGGACCCCAGCTCGACGCGAAAGGGCTGGAGTTGAAACGGCTACGCGTTTACGATGGTGGTGAGGGGGAGGGATAGGACGAGGAGGATGCGAAGATTCTGATGAGTATGATGAGGAGGGGGATGATGAGGCGCAGTAGGGTGCGGAGGAGGATGTGGTGACTACGATGAGTATGGTGGTGAGGATGATGATGATGGTGATGAGGATGGTCACGATTATGATGGGTATAGTGATGATGATGATGCTATTGACCATGATGATGATGCTTATGAGGATGATGTTGATTATCATTAGTGTGGTGATGCTTATGGTGATGATGGTGATGATGGTGATGATGGTGATGATGATGATGAACACGATGAGTGAGCCGACGATGCAATGTTGATGATGACGACGGCGCTGCTGATGATGCGGATCAGGACGATGACGCTGATGCTGATGCTGATGCTGATGCTGTGTATACGTGTGTGTGTGTGTGTGGGATGGTGGGGATGATGATGAGGGTGATGTTGACGAGCGTGGTGATGGTGATGGTGGTGGGATGGGGGGAGAGCCACCAAACATGCACACCGCCTGAGACATCCACAGTCCGGGAGCGAATGGCCCTCCTCCTCCTCCTCCTCCTCCTAGCCCTGGCGCCTCCTCCTCCTCCTCCTCCTCCTCCTTCTTAGGGTGCTCAAGTGCCACGCCTGCCACATCACGACGAGCAGGGGGCTCTCAGTGGGAGCGAAGCCCACGCCACCAGGCAGGCAAATCGCCTGAGACATCCCCACCACCTGGGCGCGAACGGACAACTGTCCCTACAATTCCCACCCCTGGCGGCTCCTCCCTGGGGTGTTCACATGCCGCGCCTGCTACATCGCGACAAGCATAGAACTCTTACTACGCAGGTGATTTTCGCATGAGTCTGAATGTGACTTCGCTGGGTACACCTGGCTCTGGATGATAACTCTGCGTATGAGTGGATCAGAGTATGTACGAGTCTGAGTATGGGTGGGTCTGTGTGCGAGTAAATCTGAGTACCAGTGGATCTGAGTGCGAGTGAATCTGAAAATGAATGCGTCTGAGTATGAGTTCGCCTGCGAGTGAATGAATCCGGCCGGGTGTGAGAGAGTCTGAGTGGCAGTAAGTCTGAGTATGAGTGACCCGATCAAAAAAGGCAGACGGGGGAAAGGACAACGGGAGGCGGAGGCATCACACTAGTAACAATAACCCCATACTCAGGAGATGCGAAAAAAACAAAAACTGACCACAATCATCGATCCTCCTCTTTCTCCTCACAAATCATTCTGCCTTATGCCCCTCTGGATCCTCATCCATGTCCCAACCGTCCCTGGAGCCGGGGTGGATACAAGAACGGTCGGGGTAGCCATTACCACGGCCGTCAGCATTGGTGCCGTGACGATCACTGGTTCGACGCTCCAATCGGCCGAAGCCATGGCACTGTCAGTCTCTGCCTTGACGACGGCAGAAGCTTCAAGAATCGTGGTAGAGAGGGCGGTGGCAGTGCTGATGTCAGCGACATCCACCTCGAAACTGGTCTTGACAAGGACTGTACCGTCGGAGCCGCTGATGTCGGCGATCTCCCCTTCGAAACCAGACGTCTGGCCGGCGGCAGCGTGGAGCCGACGGACACCCAGAGTGAAACCGGTGATGGCGATGTCGGAAGCGGGCACAGATAGAGCGGCAACCAAGCCGTTCTTCTTGGCTGTCGTGTAGGCAATGGATGACATGAGGTCAGACGCAGTCACGTCTACGGGAAGCACTTCGTCCGAGGAGTACTCAGCGACAACCTCAGACTGAGAATTGGGAGCGCATGTCGAAGAACAACTGAACTATCACACTGTGTTACGGATAATAGCAACATTAAACAACAATACGAAACTTGCGCAGTCTATTGCACTGCCACCCGTCAATCACTGCCAAGCAGAAGACTGTGACTCCTTACCACGGCACGCTGGGGCGTGCTGAAATGCCTGATGGCAATATGGTAGGGATTCTGCAACTGTCTTGGGTCGGCGGTGGACAAGCATCCCTTTAGTAAACCACCCTTTAGCGAAAACGGCCTGGTACCGAAACCAGCGGACCTGGACCCGCAAAAATGACGGCCGCGACGCCCTCTTGCGAGCCGACAACGGCCAATTCCTTAATCGACGTGTCAGGGTAGGGGGTCTGTCCACCCCCGATTGGGGCGGCCCACATGATCTCCCGCTCCCGTGTGAATTTGCCAGCCCTGCGGGTTGCTTCCTCGGAGCCCGTGTCGGTCCCACGCCGGTCCCGAGGAGGCCCGGGGCCGCCCCGGGATGGCCGCATGATGCCCCACGGCTCGCGCAGGACGGTCGAAGCGCTGCCAAAATGCCGCAAGAGGGCCCCATATAGCACGCCCCGAGAAGCCCCGGAGATCCGAGCGGACAGCCCTGCCGCAAGGCTCTGGGAGGCCGACCATGTTGCGATGCCGCTCTGTGCCCGTTGCTTCCCATGCCTCTTGCCTTGGATGGCGTCCCAGGCCCCAAAGAGGCGAAGACGCCCGGCCCGAAAACATTTCGGGACGCCGGGATCTCACAGAGGAGGGGGGAGCGAAGGTCGCCGTGGGCGGCCAGAAGCCCCAGAGCAGCCCCAGGAAACCAGCGACGCCTCCCCGAGAGGCAGCGCGACAGACACCCCGCGCCGCGGCAACTCGGAACGATGCCACCCAGGCTAGCCTGAGAGTGTCTCTGCCGAGCGTGCCCAAAGAGCTCGGCGGAACCGTCATGCACTCATCTCGATGGGAGGGGGCAAAATCGGGGAGACGTAAAACTCGGGTACGGGGGACTACGGTTGGCCTGAAGGGGCCATCAATGAAAATAACGAGACCCAATCTGAACTTTGACGCGAACTCCCACTGCAAACATCCCACGAAAACCAGACCGTCGAATTCCAGGACGCGCTCATCAAAAAACTTCGCAGACGAGAGTTCCGGCTTACTCGAGTCTTACGTTTCCCCAACAGAAGGGTGCAGACTCTGGGATTATTTTAACAAGCGTGGGGGGGTAGCCCCCCGACTGGGGTCAACCTCGCCACGTCGCGCCGCGACGGGGTTCGGGACGCCTGCCGCGCGCAGTGGCTACCCGCGACGGGGTCGATGTGGGGCCGTCGGCGGGGGTGGCGCCCCCCCGACGCTTATTAAGAAGCTCGGAGTACCTGCATACACGTAAACCTTCGTCGGTCCGCGATGGAATCGGCGATGCATCGACCTGGAATCGGCGATACATCGCCGATAGATCGGCGATAGGCCCCCGATAGTGAATCCGCACCATAAGGGCAGGTTGGGCTTCTCGGGCCCCTGTCGGCGATCAATGGGCGATGGACGATGCGTGGCCTTGGCCCGAGGAGTCTCCCGCCTGTCACGCCCGTCTCTGGGGGCTCCCTCGGGGGCCCCTGCGGTGCCGCTTGAGGGGTGCTCTGGACGCCCTCGTTCTGCACCTCCCTGTGGAGAGCTTCAGCGGCGAGCGATCTTCGAAGGCAACGGGGCTTCTCGAAAGGCCTCTGGCCTTCTGGGAAGTTTTCTGTGTCCTCGGGGGAGGCTTCAAGAACTCCTCAGAAGGCCGGTGGACCTCCGAACCTTCTGCGAAGGCATTCTCCTTCTCACCTTCCCCCTCGCTCGCCACCGAGAGCTGGCACCACCTGGGGCCAGGAGCTACCTCTGGCCAGCATACGGCGCGGGGCGGATGATGGAGATAGCGAGACCTTGGGCGGTGCCGTCGGTGCTGGCGTCGGCGCCGGCGTCGGTGCCGGCGTCGGCACTGGCGTCGGGGCCAGTGTGGGTGCTGTCGTCGGCGCTGGCGTCGGCGCTTGTGTCGGGGCTGGCGTCGGTGCTGGTGTCGGCACTGGGGTCACTGGGGCGGGAACTGGTGTCGGTGCTGACGTGCATCCGGCCACCGCCAGTGCTGCGCTGGTGTCCGAGACACTTACCCTCGCATAGGTCGCGGCGTCAATGCTGCAAACATGGATCCAGATGCTGGCTTCCACAATTTCCAAGGTACTTCCATCTGCCATTGTCGTCCACAACTCAGTTTGCGCATTAACATTGGGCTGGAAATGAACATGAATGCGATCCGCCAATTGAAGATAACCCGTGCCAAAAACAGCGCACGGTGTCACAGAAGTGCACAGGAACTTGTCGAAGAGGCCCATGTCCGCCACCGCCCTTGCAATGTGCGGAGAGGGTGTTTGTGTGTGTGTGTCTCTGTGCATGCGCGTGCCAGCCCCCTGGAATCCAAAATGAGACCCTTCCTTGCAAAACCGTAGTCTTATTTGGAGTCCCGAAACGGTGCGGTGACGGACTGTGCGGTGACCTCGAAATCCCCCAAGACCTCACCACACGGTCCGTCACCGCACGGTTTTGGGACCCTGGAGGCCCCCATCGCCCGAGACGTCCTCGGAGAGGGGCCCGAGTCCCAAAACCGTGCGGTGACCCCACATCCCCACCGACTCACCGCACGGTGCGGTCACCACCCTGTTTGGGGGCCCAAGGTCTTAGCAAAGTACGATACAGACACATTAGCATCACAGGTATTCGCCTCCGAGCCGACCCTTGGACGTCCGAGACCTCTGAGCCCAGACTTAAGTGGGGCGTGTCCCTCTACAGGAGGAGTACTCGAAAAGAGTCAAAAAATAGTCTCAGCCGATTGTTTGACTGTGTTTTGTTGCTCTTTTTGAATATGTTCAGAAGGTATGTTTGATGTTTCGCCCAACATCCGCCTGTAGGGGGCATGTCTTTGCCTCCGCCACGAGCAAGCGCTGCTTTCTTCGCGTGGCCTCGGACCCCCGGGCCAGGGGGCTCCCCCGAACTCCCAGGTGCAGAGGCGGCCCTGCAGCACGACGCCAGAATGCCGGAAGACCACGCGAAGATGGCCACTCCTCCTCCTCCTCCTCCTCCTCCTCCTCCTCCTCCTCCTCCTCCTCACCTGCGCTCAGGGGCGGCCCCGACTCCCTGAGACGGCCCCGCCCCACCCCCCCACCCCGCAAATAGCCCCAAGGATAAACACATAAACAGCTCCCTCGGGCCCGCAAAAGGGAGCCTCCCAGGAAGCACCCCTGCTGAAGCGAGCAAGCCAAACACGAAGCGCGAAGCACGAAGCTTGCCGCTGAGGGCCAAGAGGGCCCGGCAATATGGTACCGGAGCGCCAGCAACAGTCTGGGAATGGAACTAATGGCAACATCGCGTGGATCACTACTGGCAAACAGACCGCCTGCGGAACACGGGGGAGGGAGGAAGAGGAGGAGGAAGAGGAAATGGCTGTGCGAGAAGGCCGTCATCCACAGAACGACTCCCGTACGTACTCATGTCGGCGTACGAAGCAAGCTAAAAGCCCGCATGCTCAAAATCCTCAGCTTAAATCTCGCCTGAGGCTTTCTTGCTTCCCTTGTGAGCGAAGGCCAGTCGCAGTGACGGCCACTCGCAACGAGTGAGTGGACACATGAAGTCGGAAGCCGATCAACTTAGTGTTTCTGCCCGCCAAGGTAGGAGGCGGCGAAGATGACAAACCATAGCTCCTTTGAAGTCTTGGAGGCCTGGAAATGGGCACAAACACCAACACAGGGGGTTGCCTCCAAAGGGGGAAGAGTATCCTCGATCTCGGCGGTGCCGAGTTTGGTGCTGGTGTCAATCTCCAGGCCTGCGAAACTAGGACGGCGTTTCGACCATATCAAAATCTGTCCCGCCAGGATTCGACCTCGCCGCCCACTGGGACCACAAGCTGCGTGGCCCTCGCCGCGACTCGTGGACTCCTTGGATGTCCTGCGCAAGGCGGTGCTACCCCGCTCAGAAGGAGGCCTCGCCGTCCTCGGGGGCCGCGAAGTGCGAAGCTGTCGCCCCTTTCGTGGGCTCCTGGGGGACAGCTCCTGGGATCTGGGAATTCATCCCCAAACGCCCGCCAAATAATGGCCTGTCCTGTAAGCCTCTTGGCGACCAGCTCCTCGGTGGCATCCTCGGCGCGGGCGTTGCCTCCCGAGCGCAATCGAGTGGCACTGCATTGCTCTGCATTTCTTAGCATTGCAGTCCTCACCGTTGCTTCGCATCGCACTGCTGCGCAACGCACCTGCAAAGCAGTTCAATGTATCGCGCTGAACTGCATTGCCTTGCACAGCATACCATTCCGACTGCAGCACTGCGCTGCACTGCCAAAACAAGCAGCAGATTTCACCGCAAAGCTGAATCAACGACAGGCGAGACAAGGCAAGCCAGGGGAAGACCCCACAAATAACGACATAGTACACGAGCACACATTACAATGCATTGCGCAGCGATTTCAAGCTAAGCATGTTGCTGAGAAAACAACGCCAAAGCGTCTGTCACCGTTTTGTAGCTGTTAGCCGGACCACACTTCTGAGACGCTGGCTCACTCTAGACTCGTGCTTCACGTGTCTGCAACTTGCCTTCAACCGAGATGTCACCCTTCATTGGGGTCACACCGATTTCGCCGTGCCAGACTGGAAGAGAGGCTCATGAAGGGCACACACTTGGCCTCTTCACGAGAGAAAATCACCCCCGACGAGACACTCCTGAGACGGACACATGCCCCTCCGCCAGATGGCCCAGGGATGGCCCCCCGGCAAGCCCTCGAGACCCTAATTTGGCCACCAAAAGAATGGAGCAAGATGGGCCCGAGACTCCCCAAAACGGCACCTGTAGAACGAAACCAAGGCAGGGATAAAACCGGGTCGGGACAAAGTTTGGATCCTTGAGAGACGGCGGTTTTGAAGGATGTATCGGGCGCCGCGGCCGGTCCATAGCGTTCCAGAACGCTCTGAGAGCGTTCCGGAACGCTCGGTAGCGCTTTATCCTGGTCGCAGCCTGGCCCGACCTGTACACCCTTACCATGGCCCCAGGAACTCCCAGCGACCCTGAGACCAACAAGGTGGACCCAAGACTCTTCAACCGACCCCCAGGAAGCCACGGAAATCACTTCTGTGAAACGTCATGCGAGGTATCGTGGCAACAATGTAGCGCCACGGACACGCCCCATGCCGTGCTGCAAATTCCCCACGCGGCGGATGCGCGCGTCAACGCAACCGGATAATGCTCGTTGAATGTGTTTGAGATACCGTACAGGCTCGGCGTGGTGTCCAAGCGAAAGGAGAGGTAGAGGGCACCCTCGCCCGCCACCGACTGGGTCTGCCCGGTGCACTCGTCGCACGGGATCTTCACCATGAGAAACTCGGCCCCGTCTGGCCCCTCGTTGAGGGGAGAGAGGTTGACTGCCGTGTGGTCATGCCCCCGCACAAACTCCACGACCTCGGCCCCCGTCAGCCAGCCGAGCCGGTAGCGCGTAACAGCATTGGGGTCCGAATACTTAGGGGCCCTTTGATAGCAGAGGGCCGCACGACGGCGTAAACCTAAACTTCCATGGGGTCGGCGCTGGCCTGAGAGGCCACGTCGTGGGTGGACCAGTTCAGGGGGCGGATACATGGAGCTATAATGGGCGTGGGCGACACGTCGCCGATAGATCGGCGATAGGCCCCCGATGACAAATCCGCACGCCCCTGAGCTTGGTGGGCTGGGTGGGGTATCGGGCCCCCGATGGGCGATTTTAGGGCTCTCGGGGTTCGAGTAGATGGGGTCGGAGGAGCGCCGCATCGCCAATGCAGCGGTGATGCATGCCGATGCATCGGCGATGCGCCGGCGACGTCGGCGATGCATCTACGCCGTCAGCGTGGAGAAAATCGGTGTCCACATCGAGCCGCATCAGCAATGCATCGGCGATGCAGCGCGCTCCTCCGACCCTATCTGCTCGGACCCCATCTGGGAGGCCTAAAGATTTGGGGTCGATGCGTTCCCCCCCCCCTCTCCCACAACCCTACCCCCCCCCAAACGCTGCCCCTGCTGGACTCCCCCGCACCCCTTCCCTGCCGCACGGCGCGCCAGGGGGCGGCAGAGACGGCGGGGCGCAAGTAGGTCACGTGCCGCTCCGACTCGTGGGAGGGGATGCCGGGGAAGGCTCGGGACGTCGACGCCTGGGGACCAGGCCGTGGATAATGAGCATGTCGGTGCGAAGCCCGGGGGGGCCAGGACCGACGGCGCGACGCGCTGAGCCAACGGTCCTGACCGCACCTCGGGGGCGTCCAGGAGGGGGGTGCCCAAGATGGGGTTCGCACATCACGTCCAGGGGCACCTGCTGGGGGGGGGGACCAGAGAACGCCTTGAAAGAAGACGAGGGGCCATGGCATGCGAGGACGAGACGTCCTGGACCCGGCCACGATGTGCCCCCCGCCCCCCTAATCATCACCCGCCTCCTTCCTCTTTTGGGAAACAACGGGTAGCAATATCGCTACTCATCGGACCTCTCCGTTGGGAATTCAAAAAGTACCGATACCGCTACTCCCCAGACCTCTCCCGGGGTGCGTTCTGACTAGAATTTCGAAGCGAATCCGATGGTGGCGACGAGGGCCTCCGAGGAGGCCCAAAAAGGGGGAAGCGAGGGAAGGGTAGATATATATGGGTACCTGTTCCTCCTCTGACTCCGGGGGTGCGGTCTGACCAGGATCTCGAGGAGCCTCCAGCGGTGGCAACGAGGGCCTCCGAGGAGGCCCGCCGGAGGCCCGCCAGAGGGGCGAAGGGCAACGAAGGATTGGCACCTGTCCCCCTGGGAGGCCCCGCGCCGACACCAAGGGAAAGAGCCGCGGAGGGCCCCTCTCGAAGGGGCCCATGGGACACACACACACACACACACACACATAAAAGGATGCCCCACATTTTCCCATGTTTTCGGGGTTTCTGTCTTCCCCCCCCCGTCCCATATGTTCCCATCTGTTCTGGGGCATCGGCGATCAATCGTGCCTGTGTGCTGTCTCCCCTCTGGACCCTCCGAAAGTTTAAAGCTCGCGCCGTGCTGTGGCCCTTTGGAAATCGGCGGCGGGCAAGGAGGGGGATCGCGAGGAGGGGAAGGCCTTCTCAGAAGGCGGCGGGGCTCCAAAGAGGCGCTGGCGGCCTTCCGATAAGTGTTCTGAGCTCTGGGGAGAGCTCATATAGACGAGCGCGTTTTCCACCACTCGCAAAGTCTCTGCTCGCAGATGGCCTGGATCCGCCGCGGGGGATTTACGAGCAGTCTCATCGAAACAAACAAATGTGTTTCGGACGCATGCGGGTAGGCACTTTGCGAGTAGTGGAACGCGCTCGGTGATCATAGAACGTCTCAGAAGGCCAGGGGATGTCCAAGCCTTCTGAGAAGGCCAGTCCCTTCTCGCTGTCCCCCTGGGCTCGCCGCCGAAAATAACCCATGATCGCATCATCGAGGTACTCGTTGAAGGTCCCGTCAGAGTTGTAGCCACCGCAGTGGACGAGGCCCCAGTTGTGCCCAAGCTCGTGAAAGAACGACTGCCAGGTGATGGAGTTCGCCTGATACTGGGACCACCCGTTGTAGGCCCCTGTGGTAGGCAGAAAAGCACTGGCCTTGTTGGTGGCGAGCCTAAGGGTTAGGGCGTGTGTGGAGGTCGGCCATTGGAAAAGGCAGGCCGCTTCTTAGAAGGGCTCTTCTGTGAACAAGAGGCTTCTAGTTCGACCGCTCCCTCCGCCCCATTCCCTTGCGCGCGCCACAAGCCTGGAATGTGCTCCCTGGATACACCACCATGACATTCGTGTAATTTCTTGCCTGGTACTGTGCCATGAACACGCCGTGCTGGCTCACGCTCTGGTACAGGTTCGTCAAGCTGCTGCCCCAATTCGCGGGGTCCTCCGGCGCCTCCATCTGGAAGAAATCAACACTCTTGGTGTCCAACCAAAGCGTGTGCCACGAGCTGTGATACAGCGAGTCGTTGAGGCCGGGGACCTGCCAGAAGAGGTCCTGGACATCTGTGAGGCTCACAGGGTCAGGGTAGCCTGGCGCAGCACCCTTGTACGTCATATAGACGAAGAGTATCGGGCCGTATGATCCCGTTGGCGACACCATGGAGCCCGTCGTGCCCGAAGGGGCATATTCTGCGTCTTCGAGGTGAGTGTCCAAATATGCATTGAATAACTCTTCTGGCGATGGCGAGGAAGATTGCCCCCCTCCCCGTGCAGATGAAGGGTCAGAACCAGGTGCGGGTCGAACATGACGTGACGGCCACCACCCGTCTGTTCCGCTGCTTATCACATGCACGCCAGCCACCCTCATGACGTTCCAAGCATACGTGGTCGCAACAATGAGCAGGAAAGGTACCATCTTCAGCGCTTCGATACTCAGGTGAAACTGCGTCGGCGACGCTGGGAAGGAAGTGGGGTAGTAGTTCGATATGAAGCGTGGCTTTCGAGGGCAGACGGCGCCTGGAGGACAACCAGCACTCTCGAGGAGCAGAACACGCACACCCAGCACAACCCAAGGAGGACGAAAATGATGAGGAATGCAGTGGAGGCCCATGCCCAGGAGCACCCTGCTTACCTCCTGGTTGCCTTGGATTTCTGGGGCTTCGATGGTCTTGCTGTGGAAGGCGTGACGTCCCGGGGCCTCGGGGATGGGCTTCCTGTGGAAGGTTTCTCGTGGACTGGCCTCCACTGTACGGTCGGCCTCGCTCGGCCAGGACACGCGAGAGGACACAAGACCCTTCCGAGGGCCACATTGCCACAGGAATGCAGGAATCATGGGTCGCGAGACACAGGACACAAGGGTCCCTTGATTTGGCAGGGTCGACCTGCTAATCTGGGCCTCCACTGTAAGACGAGCATGGGGCGGTCGAGGCTCGGGGATCTTCTGACCCAGGTCAATCCAGACACGGGTCAGCAGGAGACCAAAAAACTGCAATGCAGGAAAAAAACTGCAATGCAGGTCTTCGCAAACCCAGGTCAGCCAATATGCGCAGCCGCCTCGCGGACACGAGCGGCTCGCCAGCCCGGGTCAGCCAGAGGGGGTCTTCGCAGGATGCTGCAGGATCCGCTGCCCTGGCTGACCCCCGTTTGCATTGACCCCCGCCTCTTGAGCCCCGAGAGGCCAGGGGGCGGCGTGCGCCGGCACTCTTCCCCTCCCCCCCCCCCCGCCCACGAGCGACGCGTGGCCACACCGGCCCAGGCCCCCCCCGGGAGTGCCCCGGCGCTCCAGGCGCCTCCTGGCGGAGAGAGATCAGAGGCCTGCCGTCGCTCGGACGCCCATGCCCCGTGCCCTCGGCGGTGCCGTGCGCGCCCTTGTCGCACGGTGCTCCACGATGTTCCTCGATGCTACTCGCCGAGAATAAGAAACACTATGCACAAACACAAACAAAAGAAGCGTCCGAGCGATGCCATACCTCAGGGAGTGCCCCGCGCTCCTGGGGTATCTCCCCGGTGGGGCGAGAGAGGTCCGGGGCATCCGAGCCCTCCGGGGAGCTCCCGGCGCTGCAGGGAGCCCCCCTCGTGCCCCCGCTCCTCCCCCCCTCCCTCCATGAGGGGGCCGAGGGACACACAAATTACCCTGGCGAGGTACCCAACCCCTGCGAGGCAGGCGTAGTTTGGGAGATTTGACGAGAAGGCGGCGACGTGACATGGACGCATACACTTCTGCGAGCGGCATTCGGAAGGCTCGCAGGCCACCAATCAAGGGAAACACTATGAGTAATGAAGTGAACCCCTGAGTCAATAAGGAAGACGCAAGGTTCAAAAAGAGAGGGTGGGCAAGGGGCTTGAAACGTCGGCGGGGCAGCAACAACACGACATGGCCCCCCAAGGACGGCGAGGCCCCGCTCAGGTCTGCGCAGTGCCTCACTCCGCTGGACCCACCAGCAGCCCTCGAAAATGGCGACATGTTCGCAGATCGCACACCCCCAAAGACGGGGAGGTCCCGCTCAGGTCCGCGCGGTGCCTCACCCCGCTGAACCCACCTGCAGCCCTCGAAAAGGCGACAGTTTGGTAAATCCCAGGCTCCCGGGGACGGGGAGGTCCCGCTCAGGTCCGCGCGGTGCCTCACTCCGCTGGACCCACCAGCATCCCTCGAAAACGGTGACAATTCCGCAAATCCCAGCCCCCCGGTGACGGGGAGGTCCAGCTCAGGTCCGCACGGTGCCTCACTCCGCTGGACCCACCAGCAACCCTCGAAAGTTGCGACATTTTCGCAAATCCCAGCCCCCCGGTGACGGGGAGGTCCCGCTCAGGTCCGCGCGGTGCCTCACTCCGCTGAACACGCCAGCAGTCCTCGAAAGTAGCAAAAGCTTCGCAGATCGCAACCCCCAAGGGACGGGGAGGTCCGCTCAGGTCCGCACGGTGCCTCACTCGGCTGGACCCACCAGCATCCCTAGAAAATTTGTGACAATTTCGCGGATCGCAGCCCCCAGGGACGGGGAGGTCCTGCTCAGGTCCGCGCGGTGCCTCACTCGGCTGGACCCACCAGCAGCCCTCGAAAGTTGCGACAATTTGGCAAATCGCAACCACCAAGAAACGAGGAGGTCCGCTCAGATCCGCGCGGTCCCTCACCCCGCTGGACCCACCAACAGCCTTCGAAAATGGCGACATGTTCGCAGATCGCACACCCCCAAAGACGGGGAGGTCCTGAGTCCTGAGGTCCCGCTCAGGTCCGCGCGGTGCCTCACCCCGCTGGACCCACCAGCAGCCCTCGAGAGTGGCGACGGTATCGCGGATTCCAGCCTCCCAGGCAAGGCAAGATGAGACAAGACGGAGGGGGAGCGGGAGGCGGGAGGCAGAAGGCGGGAGGCGGGAGGAGGAGGACGCGATCGCAGTACTCTATTCAAAACGAATACCCAACCAAGGAGGGTTGGAAATAAATGCGCACACATCGCAGGATTCCCTGTATGCTCCTATATTTTATGGGCTGTCGTCTTCCCATCCACTTCCATATTTTCCAACATGTTCCTGGCAGTCGACGGTTCAATGTGTCTGTGTCTCTTTCCCTCCTGCCTCCATCGCCGGCAGAGCTCCTCCACGCTCCTCCCCCCGCCCTCCATCGCTGGCAGGCCTGTGGTACGGTAACTTCGTGTCGTGACGACCCTTAGAAAAAAAAAAAAAAAAAAAAAAAAAAAAAAAAAAAAAAAAAAAAAAAAAACTTTGGGCGCTCCGCGCGGATCTCTTGGGTCGGCGCTGGGCCCACCCGGCGGCGCCTCCAGACCCGCCCCCGGCGCACCCCGCGCGCCAGGGAGGGGGGGTCCGGCGCGAGTCCAAGAAATCCGCGCGGAGCGTTCCAAGTTTACGTTTAGGTGGTTTTTGTATGGTTTTACACCGCGTCGATCGCTCAACCTTGAACGATCAGCGTCTTGCCGATCGCCCGGCCGTTCCATGCAGGCCGATTCTGGGCCACCGGCGGCGTTCAACCTTGAGCCCGTGTGGTGGGGTCGCCGTCACACGACGCGAAACTAACATAGAGAAGCAGAGAGCCATCAGGGAACTCTCGATGCCAGATTGAAATGTGGGGGGGTCGTTACATTTGGGAGGGGGGGTCTTAATCTGGGCTGGCACGGAGGGAGGGCTCGACGGGGTCTGGGCAAAAGGTCGCCCTTTCATGCCTGGTCTGGGGGGGGGTCAAAATATTCGTCTGGGAGGATTGTGACCTCCCCCCTATTTACTACAAAACATTGAATAACAAAAATGGCCACTCCCACAGCGCGCAGAATCCACCGTTTGAGGAGCCGTGCTCTGGGCTCCCGATGTCGCGCCCCCCCCTCCCTTCCAAGAGCAAGGCGGAAACGCCCACAAAAGCGCGGCGGGGACTTGTGGAACCGACGGCCCTCACGAGCGGCGAACACGTCCGTGTCCGCGCCCTCGCAGTCTGGACTCCGGGACGCTACCCTGCGGATGCGCGGTTGCACGGATGCGTTCCGCGTGGGACGCTCGCGAAAAAGCGTCCTGCGCCCGCGAGGGCACAGATGCGGGCATGTGCTTCGCCCACGAGTCCTAGGACCCCATGGGGCCGTGGGTATGGACATGTCTGGGCCCCAGGACGACTGAAAGATCCGCCTCCTGTCCTCAGGGCCCCGGGAGGGTCTGGATGTATACACCACTCCGTTCGATCGGCCAAGGAGCTCTGCGTACAGACGCGCAAGAGCTGCCAAGCCTGTGGGGCGCTGGAGCGCCAGGACGCCGAACTCCTTTGCCGAGCTCCGTGGCCCCGTGCCGACCAAACGACACATCGAGACCCTTCTGGGCTCGAACCTCGACCCGTGGCCCACGACAGTAGAAGGGCACGAATCGGAGGTCCGCGCGGATGGCTTGGGTCAGCGCTAGGACCCCCTTGGCGCCGATCCAGAATCCGCGCAGAGCTATGAAAGCCTATGCTGATGCCGATTTTCCTTCTTCGAGTGTACAGTCGACCCGTATCATCAAGATGCGCGAGAAGGATGCAAGGGCCTTGGAAGGCCACTCCGAAGCTTTTCGAGAGGGGCGCGGCCAGCGAATGTGACCAAGGATGGGTCGAAGGGACAAGGATGTAAGGGTACCCTTGGCAAGGTTGCCCATCCTTACTATGCGGGTTGACTGTATGTTAGTGCCGATGTTCCTTCTTCGAGTGTATTCGTCGAGACTCCCCGAGACTCAAAACCACGGCTGCTCGGTGCACAACACGCCGCCCGCGCCCCGCTCCTCACATCCGGTGGCAACTCATGGGCGCCTGCCTCCCATGCCATCTTCTTGGCTCTTGCGAATCGACGCTGATCGACGCTCGTCGGCGCTGCATCGACGCTACTGGACGCACATCGACGCTCATTGACGCGAAGTTGGCGCTAACAATCATCCACTACCAAGCGCTGATCGGCGCTAGCGCACTCTTAAAGACGGAACCACGAGGATACACTTGGGTCGGGCATGTCCTCCTACAGGCGGGTTATGTTGCTTGTTGTTTTGGAATGTAGATATAGGTGTGTGTGTGTGTGTATATATGATAATGGCTCGTATCTGTAAAAAATAACAAAAGAAAAAAAAAAAACAACATGAAATCCCCCTGTAGAGCGACATGCCAGACTCAAGGGTACACGTGGCTCCCACGCTTCGAGGCCGAAA